CACCCGAGCCCTAGCTGTCTTTAAAAGGTGTGCATTTTTACTGCCCTCCCAGATAAATGTGTTTCCCACTCTCATTCTCACTCAGAAACATCGCCCCAGGATTACATTGGTTCCCCCTGACGCACACATATATTAACAATTTACACAGGCACACACACACACCAACGGACACACACCTTATTGTTTCCCCCTAATACTAAATCCCTGGATTAACAAGCATTTTAATGTGAAATGCTCAAACGGACGTCTGCAGAATCTTTCCTTCGGAAGGAAGTGTACACAGCAAATCTGAAATCGGAAATTTAACAACAGAGTTAAATTTAACACTTTGTCAGTGTATATATGGATACCACCACATGAGTGTTAATGTAACACTTTCAAAAGTATTGATATTACCAACACTAATATGGTGTTAAAATGTAACACTATTAGAGTTCAAAAACATCACTGAAATAAGTAGTTGATATTACCAACACTAATAGGGTGTAAAAATGTAACACTATTAGAGTTCAATAACAACACTGCAGTAAGTGTTTAAAACTCCAAACAGTTGTAAAATGTTGAACTGTTAAAACAACCCTTCAAAGCCAAATTTCAACTGTTTATTTAACAACATAGCACATGCAGTTTCAGTGCTCTACAAAAGGCAACAATCTGTAACAACATACAAGAACGAATCAGAGTCATATGACATCTGAAGGTCAAAGGGTTTGGGGTGCTGCAGTTCATGTTGCTTCACAATGCAAAAATCATCAAGATCTTCAACCTGAAATGCATGCAGATGCTCAATAAAAACGGCCTCCATTTGCATCAAGAGAAAATGTATTTCATTCAACTACTAAAAACTAGTATGTCATACAAATTTAATCAATCGACAACAAAAAAAAAATAATGAAAATAAATTATGCAAATATATAAATACTTTTCAAGATGTCTTCACAGGATTCCCCTTGCTCCTCTCTGGTTGATTGTAAAAGCTGTTCCAGATACGGTGTCGATGCAAGCATTGATGCCTCCTTTATCAACTTCGGTTTGTATGATGGCCACCTTTCTAGAAGTCTAGCAGACATTTCAGGTCCAAAGAGAAGGCTGAAGTCTTGAAGAATCTAAAACATTAAGATACATAAGGGAGAAAAAAAAAAGCAAGCAAGGAGCAGAACATTATTTAAGGGAGAGTTCACCCAAAATGAAAACTTGCCACCCTGATGTCATTCTTTGAAACACAAAAGATATCTTTAATACTCACTCTCTCAGCTTCGTGAAATGCAAATACAATGAAAATCAACAGCTACCAACACTTTGAAACTCCACACCGTAAAGGTAGCATGATATTAAACATCAAAAACTAGAATGGGAATGATCATGAATATATGTAACTTTTAATTAAGCTGTTAATGCTTTCTACATAAATAAACCTCTCCTTCCTCACATCTCTGGCTGAAGCACCCTGTAACACCTCGTTGTCCATGCACGCTCTTTTAGACAAGGTATGCTCATCACTCTCACTATCCTCTGTACTCAAAATGGAGAATGTGTCCAAGTGGCTTGATGAAGTTTTGGCAGATATATCTATTAAAGGAGAAAAAGGAAATATCTTCATAATTACTGACAATAAACAAAAGCACCACACTGCATTCTTTCTGTACAGATTAGACAGATTAGTGGGTGATTCAAAATCTTAACATCTGGCAACCTCTAGCATGAAATGTTGTTTGTTT